GTTTTTGGTGGCATGTAAAAGTTTTTCATGGTTTCGCAACCTGGATGGCCTTGCAACGACTTAAAAGAAGACTACTGTGTTTATGTCCCCTCTAAGGTTACGTTAATTTCTAAAAAAACATAATTTGAATGTCCTGCCAATGGCTTATTGTGTGTGGGCCTGTGTGTTTGTAAATGTGTGTGTGATTGAGTATGTGTGTGTGTGTGTGTGTTTGTGTATAATATGTGTGTATGTATGTATGTTGACATATGTGTATGTATGTATTTACCATGCTGCACCAACTTTGTTGAGATCAGTAAAGTGATATGTTATCTTGTCATATATCTTTTTCTTTTTTTTTTTGAATTATGTCAAATTCATGGAAAGACTGAAAAAAAACAACTCAGTGGCTTGACTGATGTGTTAAAAAGTTTATTTTGTAATGGATAGCGTATATCAGGAACAAGTTTTTAGGGCTGTTCATTACTATTTCAGCAACAATTGTACAAAGAGTGCCGCAAAGAAGAAGTCCAGCATAGGATGAGTGATATCATTGCTGGGAAGAAAGCGAAAAAACGCAAATTACAAAAGGAGGCCAGTGAAAAGGAATCGGCTGGTGCAGGAGCTGAGGAGGAAGGCAGTGAGAGAACACATCCGGGGCAGAGCAACGAGAGAACACAGGCTGGAGGGAGTGACAATGTCGAGGAGAACACAGAGGAAGACAATCTGACAGCTGATGACATTGTGAATTCAGAGACATCCATTAAACACAGTCTGGTGCAGATATTTACGGGTGAGTTTATTAACTTAGCTGTGTACAGATGATGAAGATTGGGATAATACAGTTATATGAATTTCCCTGATCTTTTTGATAACTTACTCATGCTAGATACATGCCTGCCTTTAGTCTGCTCTGCTCTGTTCTGCTCTGCTCTGATCTACTCTACTTTCTTTGCTCTGCTGTACTTTACTTTACTCTTACCTTACCATACCTTACCTTACCTTACCTTACATTACATTCACTTCTACTTTACTTTCCTTTACTTTTTCCTTCTTCTTATATTGTTGAATGTCGAGGGGCGGTGCAATTTTCTGTCAAGTTCTAGGTGGACAACTTCTCTTGAAGATATGTTATAATTCTGTTGGAGGACCTCTTTGACACCATCCAGCCAAATTTTCCATGGTTTACACTTGCTTTTGTAGCTTAATTTTCATGCATTGTGTGACTGTACTACTCTATTTGAAAGTAACAAAGATGACAAGTTGAGGGGGGGGGGGTGATGGGGAATTATTTTATACTACAAATGTAAGACAAGGGATTCTGTGTAAGCTCAGTTTATCATCTCTTTGCGTATCATTGTCTGACTTTGCTGATGTTGCAACATTTCAACGTTTTAGCCATTTTAAAAGTTTTTAAACCCTGAAACAGAGGATGTAACTTGTTTCAAGGGGTCAGTAGCAAGGGTTTCAAGTAGCATGAGGCTACTTGTATTGATATATCTATGGTGAATTCAAGCAAACGAATTGGATTTGTTAAATTAATAAGGTACACTATTTAATCGGTTTGAACGTTTCCTTCTTTTCGGTTCCAGAGAATCCATGGAAGAGAAGTCTTCAGCCAGCATCGAGTTGGAATTTTCCCACAACAGACAAAGACATTCTGCGCTATGCGGTGTTCAAAGACTTGTGGAAAAAGGGCTACTATCTCACATCAGGAGCTAAATTTGGAGGGGATTTCTTAGTTTATCCTGGTGAGAATATTTTTATTGTTTGCCCTTTGACCATGCAAGGTTTTTAAGAACCTTTTACTTTTACCTTCACTTTTAAGAAATTGCAGTTTGGGAGGTATGGGGGGAGTTTCTGTTCAGTTGATTTTCCAAGTTCACCAAAGGTAAGGGTACTTGAAAACATTAATATTTGCCTGTTATATGTTCCAAGGATTACTTCCCTTAAATGTTTATTTGAGGCTATGCACAATTGGACATGTTTACTCTTTCTTTTCCCAACTGCACTTTATTTGATTGTATTTTTTAGAGGAAATTATTTCATTTGTCTAGTTGAGATGTATGGTTTTGAAATTTAACAGTTTTTATACAGTGGAACTCGGATTTATTGAGCTCGGATTCAACGAGATGAGATAGATTCCCCGTTTTTCTTTTTCTTTAAAATCAATAAGAATAACTCGAATTCAACGAGCACTTAAATCAGCAAGCTCGGATTCAACAAGGTTGCTTCCAGGGGGAACAGCCCCCACAGACGTGGCTTTGCTCATTTTTCTCCCAGAACGTACGTTATCTATTCCCGGAAACCATCCATAGCCCTGCATCGTGAACTATTGTTCACTTAGCCGATTGAATGCGACCAATCTGCAGCCTGTTTTCATACCAACACATGCGTTGTTGGCACACGCACGTGTATACTCTGGCGTGTGTCGGGGTTGGATGGGCGGCCTGCACACGTGTGACTGTGTTGGGGAGGGGGAGGGCACCAGCGGTCCGGGCGTTGAACGTCACAGATACAAACACGTCACAGTCTTTTTTCCCCTCAGCATCTGATCATTATTATATAAGCTAGTATTGACGTAGATCTACGTAATGAATTGAGCGCTCGTAAATGGAATCAAAAGTTGCTGTGTGCAAGGCTCTACACAGTAACACAACTTTTTGGCAAACAATCGAGATGACACTGGCGTGCATTTGAACGAATTGGTCTTTTTTTTACACAGCTCATAATATGCAGGCATTTCAGGCACTGCTTGTTACTTCTCTTTACTCATTATGTGCTCAGTGCCTGTAATAATCTTCTCAAAACCTCATGTTTGCTATAACGAACACTCGGATTCAACGAGGTTTTAAGTCAGGCCCGGCGACCTCGTTGAATCCGAGTTCCACTGTACCATTGTCGACTTCAGTCGCCAGACTGTAGTGTGCGCTTATTGCCGCTGGCAACTTAAGTCACCAACTCAACCAGGCACACTCAACATATTTAAACAGTGAACAAAATTACTGCACTAAAGTGAATACCAAAGGCAGTAAATCTGTGTGATAGCTGAATGGTTAATGACACCCTGTGAATTTTTAAAGTTTGTTTCTTGGACTGTGAAGGTTTTTGAAAATTTTTTTAAAATGTACCGTTGCTTCAGCATTCTAAACTGATATGATACTTGTTTTTTTCTTCTCTTTATGACTATGAGTCTTCAGTACTGTTAGTGTTAAACTAATATCATGGCTGTCTGGGCTCGCCCTTTGTAATATTTTTGTTCTGTCCTGCCATAGCTGTTGACATGTTACGATGTTCTGGAGAAGGGATCATGTGTGCCTTTGTGCATGCTCATACTGCGTGGTAAACTATTTGTCATACGACAAAAACTCTGAGTACACTCTGACACTTTGTACGTTCATGGAGATACTGCTGTCTGTGCATGCTTTTGTTTTTCCTAGATTGTCCTGTGTTCTTTTTTTTTTGAAGGTGTCAGATGTTTTCAGTGAGCTGAAAAAAGGTGCATTCCGATGCAAGGGCAAATGTTGTTGAGCCAAAGACACGTACAAAACAAACAAACTATGTTTGCAGTTTTGGAGAAACAATGTGAAGGGCGGTGTTACTAGTGATGATAAAGATATGTGAGGCATCTTAGTGAAATCAGACGCTTGTCAAAATAATGAAATAAAAGAAACAGACATTTTTCCCGCCAGCTTGGCAATTTTTATTAATTTTTTTTTTTAGCTAACACCTTTTATGTCCATATAGAAACACATTTCCATGTGAATTTTACTGAAAAACGTTGATTAAAAGCAGAAAATATGTAATTTTTTAGTTTTCAAGGACTCAAGCTAGGGCAGCCATTTTCTCACCAAATTTAGCACTGACCTCATCTTCTCCATTGCAAATATCTCGACTTTTGTGTGAAATAGATATATATATTATTTTTTTTTAAATTGAAAGCCAGGCAAATGAAGAAGCATTCAAAAGATACCAGTAACTCCACATGTAAAAAAATTGACGAGCGCCTGATTCCCCTGTGTCATGGCACATATGAAGATTTTGTTTTGTAAGTCTGGACATGTTATTTTAAACCTCCTAAACAACTTCATTTGCAGCGTAGTATGTATTCTGAGATCAGTAAAAGAAGAATCTAGTATTTTGGTTATGCAAACAGAAACATAAAAAACAGACCTGATGACAAGATCTCCGGTATCATACATTGGAAAACGAAAAATGCGACAGTGGTCTACAAGTTCATGAAATAAAACATCAAAGCAGAGACCCCCCGGGCCAGTGCCACTGACTGAAGTGTCTTTAGGCCATTCGGCCCAACCTACAGTCCCAAACAATGTGTGCACAAGTGCCATGCACCATTGTTGAACTCTTATTTAGCAAGAATCCACAGTTGTAGTTTAAAAAAATGTGGACTGTGACAGTGACACGCCTCTTTAAAAAAAATATGTCTCAGTGGGGATTGTGATAAAATACATCTGTGAAAAAAATTAACATCCAGGAATTGCTGTTTTGCAGACCCAGAACCCGGTTGGATGGATTGTTTTTAAAGGAATGCATTGATGAAAGTACATGTACTACATGTATCTTGAAGAAATGTGTTTTTCATAATATTGTGTGTGTTTATCTGACGACGTTTCTCAATTCTCAATGCGTGTAATTTTCAGGCGTAGGCATTTTACCAATTGGGATTTCAGGTTTTTGAACCTGTCAGTGCTTTCACCCATGGCCATTCCCAAAGGGGGACATTTCTCGTTCAAGCATAGTAGAATTGTAAATGGGCTGACTCATGTCACGCTCATAACTGTGCCTGATCTACAACAGGGAACTGCTGCTTTTTCTGTCCTGATCCCTACTATTGTCATTTTCCTCCACTTCTTTTGTATGTTTGTCACTCTCTTGTGACCTGCTATTTTGGGCTGCCTTGATAGTCGAAGCAGACCTTGTGCTGTTGAAGCTAGAGAGGTGAGCAGTCTAAGTCTGATTCCCTGTAAAGACTTCTCTGTTGACACCCACCCCTTGGCGCTCATAGGACCGTTTGCAGTTGCGAGCGCCGTAAAACCCTCTACCTTAAAAAAAAAAAAAGCAGAGACCAGGGAAGATGGGGCCTGTTGTGGCAGGGAGTGGGGCACCAATGGAGGACCACGGCTATGGTAATGGCTAACAAGTTTACAAGTGACTTAATAATAATAATACATATATATAGCATTTGTATAGTACAAATCCCCTCTCAACAGCAAGCTCTATGCGCTTCACAATCTATACCATTATTCCAGCAGCCTGAGAGCATTCTGAAACAACCTCATCTTCCTGGGAAGCATACAGTGCAAGTGGCCATTTATAGGCGCTAAAACACTAACATACTGACAAGATCTTTTGCTGTCTATGGCCGGATACCCATTTCTACCTGGGTGAAGTTAGGAAAATGCATGTAAAGTGCCTTTCCCAAGGACACAATGTTAGGCCTGCGGCTCGAACCCCCGAACCCGCAACCTCAAGATTACGAGTCCGGTAGCCTAGCCACTAGGCCACCGGACGCCACCTCTGAAAAGTAACCTTGGCACAGGTATTTACTGTGAGTATGAAGGTCTGCTAGGCATACTTGTTTTTGAATAGTTTCTCAAATTTTTCTGTTCTCTCAGGTGACCCGGCCCGATTCCACTCTCACTACATCGCTGTTTGCATGGAGCAGCATCAGGAAATACCAGTGCTGGATGTCATATCGATGGGACGACTTGCTTCTAACGTTCGGAAAACCACGATCTTATGTTCCATCACCAGAAGGAATAAAGTTGTGTACACATCATTGCAGTGGACTGGTATAAGCTAAATCACATTGTCTGCTTCATGATGTAGTAAAGAGTGAATGTTTCCTTGTCATTTAAAGAACATTTCTTTTTTACTTTTACTATATTCATGTACTTGCTTACATGTATATATGCATGTATGTATGTATGTATGTGGGAATAAATGCTGGTGTGCGTGCAAGAATGTATATATATATATATATATATGCAGTGAAGTCTGCTTAAACTGAAATTTGTGTGGCTGCTAGACTTTCCTCGGTTGAACCTGTTTTTTTCATGCTTTGAACTGTGTGTGTGTGTGTTTTTTGTTTAGAATGATTACTTATACAGGAGAGAGGAAAATAATTAGATTGTTTTTTTGGGGGAGGGGGTTCCGCTGTTTTTTGTCTAATCGTGTTTGGTTTAAGCGGACTCCAATCTGTTTGTGTGTGTGTGG